CTTTTTCTCAGTTGGGATCTCCAATAATGTCAGAGGGACAGGCCAGGCAGTACCACAGGCAGTGTCAGCTGCTAAAGAGGTGCTGGCTGTGGATGGACTTCCCTGCTGGTTTATTCTGGGTCAGTTCTGCTTCTGCCTCAGGTTCTACCAATTCCATTTTCCAAAAAATGTACCTTTCACTGTGGGATGCTAAAGGTGATGAAGGAGCCTGCAGTCGATAAAGGAAGAAAATAATAATAAAATAAAAACAACAATAATAAAACTAAACCAAAAATATTATTAATAATATTAATTTTTAATATTTTTTTACTTGGGTTGTTCCTCCAAGCAGTTGGTAATGTGCTGTTACAGCAAATTATGAGTTGGCTTCAGTTTTCCCTGTGCTTGGGTAGCTCCAGGAGAAAATTTGAGGCTACCCAGGCTCAAGTGAATTGAATTTAACCTAACTTGCCACAATTTTAATCAGTGACACTAGAAAATATTTGGTTATCCTGATCAGAAAAAAAAGTGATGCTTGTAAAACAAAATTCAGGTTTTCACCATTTTCTATAGAGTAAATGCCAGTGTAATCTTTATTACAGATGAGGTGTTTGATCCTCAAGCAGTTGGTAATGTGCCGTTACAGCAAATTATGAGTTGGCTTATGAGTTTTCCCTGTGCTTGGGTAGCTCCAGGAGAAAATTTGAGGCTACCCAGGCTCAAGTGAATTGAATTTAACCTAATTTGCCACAATTTTAATCAGTGACACTAGAAAATATTTGGTTATCCTGATCAGAAAAAAAAGTGATGCTTGTAAAACAAAATTCAGGTTTTCACCATTTTCTATAGAGTAAATGCCAGTGTAATCTTTATTACAGATGAGGTGTTTGATCCTTGGAATCCATCTGCTGTGACACTTTATCCATTTAAAACCCACTAAAAGGAGTTGTTTCCTCATTTTTTTCTGTAATCATCCCCCACCTGTAGGAAATTGTCTTGCTGTTTTCCCTGTTTTACTGCTGCAGTGCTTGGGACTGCAGGAGTATTTTTCCTTTGGTTGCTCATGAAAACAAGATGTGTTTCAGTAGGATTTCCTGGTGAACAAGATTTTACATGAATGAAGAAATAAATGTTTGATGTAAAGGCTTTCATTGGTTCCCAAAGGCACGGGCCATACAAATTCCCTTACAGCACACATTTCTGTCTCTTTTGCATAGTCAAAACTATTTCAAAAAGATGAAATTTTAAATATTTTATTAACTGCTGAGAGTTCTACCTTCTTGCTGTGATCATTTTCAAGGCAAGTCAAACCAGGACCTCCTTTCTGTGAGCATGGAACAGTTTTTATTATTATTATTGTCAGCTGTGGAAAGGTCAATTCTTTCACCTTGGGGAGGTGATTGAGAAGGGGAAAAAGGAGTCAAACAAGGTTCCAAGCCCAAGGTAGCAGTTTGTAACACATTTATAATTTTAATGTCGGGGCTGAGAGATAATGATAGAAGAGAACTTTTTTTCCTTGTTGCAGAATAATGCAAATTCCAGTCAGGTACCTTTGAGGTATGGTTTTATGGACTCTGTCTTTTCCATTATCAGATATCTTGGTGTCATGACCAGTCCATTGGACTGCACAACATCTCTATTAATACTAGCATTGATTGCTCATAAAAAAATAGGGTTTATAATTAGGAGTGCATAAAGTTACTACCTGGAAGAGTGGATAAGGAGAAAATGAAATGAAAAAGTCACTTAATCTTAGTACTGCAGTTGTGCAAAGTACCATTTATTTTTCTCCTCATATAACTGAGTTCTGTGTTGATAACAAGCTGCTGAGTTAATAAATCTGTGGCAGCTATTGAGACTTCTCTTTTAATAACAGAGCTAATGAAGGAGCATTAAGGAAAGGAAAAATAGATTTTGCAGGGTTTATTCCCATCTTGGTACTCTGCTGAGCGCAAGAAGATTTTAGCAAGGAATTGTTTTTATAACAAAGTCCATTTGTTTTTTGCAGGGTCACCATTGCATTCCAGGGTTATGTGTACTAAAAAGGAACTGCTGATTTGATTCCTCAGCATTTAATTTTATATTTACTTCATTTTCATTTGATCCAGCTAGCTAAAAGATGGAGATTATTTTGTGATATAAAAATCTGCTTCGTTTCCCATTTTAATCCTTCACTCTTCTACCTTTCACTGCTCTAAAATCCTTTCAGCAGATTGAGAGGCCACTTTGAAGGTCGTGTGCTCACTTCTGAGATAGATTTTAATGTCTGTAATGGGAGCAGAGTGGGTGTGCCCTGCTTTTAAAAGAAATGGACTTCTAAGATTAAAGTGAGAAATACAATTCTCTCGCTGTGGGGTTACCCAGAAGGCCTGGCTGGTACACACAGAACCTGTGATCACGTTTTCTAGTCATGTTTGCGTGTTTTCAAAGTACACCTGAGCCTTTGGGCAGTGAGTTTTTATTTCATTTCAACTACTTTTAACTTACTCTTATTTTCCCTCTCCATCCCCCCCTCACAAAAGGAGAGAGTTTTACCATTTATTGATGTTAGAGTTGATTTTATGCCAGAATAGTCAGTCATGTTTATGAGCCAGACTTGCTTTGTGTTGTATTCAATACGGTCTGTTACATAAAAAAGGTAAATACAGATGTTGGAGATAAGTGAATGTGCATGTTGAAAGTGATAGAAATTTAATGATTTTTCAACATTCTTGCTCAAGTAACTGAAATGCCAGCCCGATCCAGTTTCATACCTAATGTACAAACCCTTTGTTTTAACTTAACACATAGTGTATTAAGAACACTTTGTTATTACCTGAAGAAGGAATTTTTTTTTTTTTTTTTTTTTTTTTTTACAATTTTCTTTTGTGGTTTGACTGAAGTTCCAGCCCAGATTTGCAATTTGCGTGATGGTAAAAAAACTGAAAGGAGAAAAATCTTAAAAAAAAAAAAAAAAAAAAAAAATTAAAAAAAAAATCAAAACCAACAGTTGTAATACTCTGTTCATCTGTTTTTAACCTGTGGAGTTGATGGCTTGAGGCTGGTTGAGGACCACTGAGAGCAGGTATGGCTGCAGCCTCTGCTCTGGGAGCAGCAGCAGCACTCGCGGTTGATCACTTCCCTCCCTTTGTGCTTTAATTTCCAGCTCTTAGTGACACTGCAACCAGCGCAGAGATTTATTCCCATGCAAAACAGATTGACTTAGGGTAATTTGAATACTTTATGCATGGCTAGGTTCATTAGGAAAAGGAGGCAAGGCAGAACTATAAAAAGAACTAATAATCTTGCTAAAGGAGCCGTTCATTCCCCACAGCACTGGAGACACTCGCACTGAGCAGGGAAGGGGAGGCTGATTTTGCAGCTTCTGTTCTCTGTCCGGGAGCAGATCACAGAGATGACTTTTTTGTCCCCTTTGATGGCCTGTCCCTTTCTGGCTCTGCTGGGTTAGAGCAGCGCTGAGGACTCTGCGGGTCACCTTGGCCACCCCGTGCCCAGCCTGCTTCCAGGAATGGATGGAATATCTGTGAGCATGGAGCCTGCAGCCCATCCTAGGGCAGTGCCCAGTGCCTTCAGGGTCAGGAGGAGTCTCCTGCTGGTCACTTGTGCCCTGTGTTGTGCCTGTGCCAGCTGGACACCTGGGCAGAGCCCGGCCACAGCCCCTTGGCACCGGCCCTGCAGGTGCCCCCAGCCGCTGCTGCATCCCAGCGGATCCCTGCTCCAGCCCTTCCCCTGGCGCTCAAATTCACCCAAAAACCAGCTCACAGACCGTGTTTGCACCCCCAGGGGTGTTGGGGACCCAGCTGTGCCCAGCGTGGCACAGGCTGGGCAGGCAGGGGGAGCTGAGTCTTTGGGAAAAGCTGAGTGCCTGCAGTGGGCCCGGCAGGTGTTTTGCCTCTGAAGTGACTTTGATGCCTTAAGATTGGAGGTTTTCTATTTTCCATGTATTTGTGATGCTGCAGTTCTTTAGTGTGTAACTCTAAACTCCACGCACAGTGTGAGCTGCTGCTTTCCCACTCTGGGCAGACACAACAATTCCTCTCCAGGCCTGGGAACCAAGGACACCTCACTGCCTCAGGCCTGAGAAATGGAAACAAAAGTGAATTGGAGGGGAGCAAATCTGGGATCAATGACTTCATTACCTGAAACTGCAATTGGAAGATTAACCCCCAAAATGCAAATGGACCAAATTTATAGAAGTGTGAAAATCTGTGACCTGTGGTCCCTTTTGGGTGGGCTTTGTCTGCCCCAAATGTACCTGAAGGCCCTTCAATAAATAGAAATGCTTAAAAAAAAATAAAATCTCTTTGTCAAAAAGAAAGATGCAAACCTGCAGAACACTGAGTGGGGTTTAATCTCCTGCCCCTTTTTGTGTGTGTGTATTCATGGCTTTAAAATTTTATTGTAAAGGCATTTAGGAGCGTGGCTGGTACTTGGTGATTGTTTTCCTGTGATAGAGACGTATTTATTATTCATTGCAATAATTACTGGGTAATATTTTGTACTGAAAGTTGTTCACGTTGCACAATCAGGAAATGCTTAGGAAGTGGCTGATTTAACTGTTCTATTTTTAACTCTGTACCAAATTACACTGAGAGGTGTTTGGGCTTTTAGGCTTGGAGCATCTAGCAGGTTTTCACCACTGCACTGGTCAGTGCCTTCCCATGAAACTTGAAATGTATATTTCCAGGGATTCTGTGCATAAATTATTTATAAAATTTGAAAGATTTTTTTACCCAGAATTGCCTTTATTATGTGCTGTTTCCAAGGGGACTGTGTTTCAGGATTCTCCTAATGCTTTTATCACCCAGCTTCTCTGATCAAGAAAGTAATTTATCGCTGATTGCAGAACTCTTGAACTCAGTCTGGCAGCTGCAGTGTGAAACTTCTCTGATCCAGTCTCCTACTTACTTATTTACATATCATTCAGAATGATTTTCAGGGCTGTTTGAAAACCTCTTGACATTGCATTATCCGTGTTTCAAATCTTGTGGTGATTTGTTTTTTCTCTCTTTTTGTTGCAGATAACAAACGAGTGACTTTGGAAAGGTCTCGTTCTCGACACAACGGAGCAATTGCAGCTGTATGATTCTTCTGATGCCAAAGAATTAATGAATTGTTTTATTTACAATGAAATGGATGTGCTTTGGGAAGAGTTTATCATCCAAATTGGCAATGATCATAAAGGAATACTGGTATTGATTAAATGAGATGGTGTAAGAATATGTAATTTTAAAGCAGTTGCTAAAAAAAATCCACATACTGTATCTTATTACCCCAACTACCAAGATCTGTAAACAGTGTTAAACAGTAGGGTATATATCTTATTTTCTTATGTTCTTTCTTTTTTTCATCACCCCTTTTTGTTTAAGCTGGCAACTCACATGAAAGGAGTTGGGGATTTCTAGGTTATGTTTTATATGGGTAAGAAAACACACTTCTGTTGAAAGAGTACAGCTGTGGATTCCATTTGCAGTTCTGATTTGAACATGAAAGGAAAAATAATAAAATTGTATGTTAATAAATTCAGAGATGAGCTGGTCTACATTATCAGAATCTTTTTTGTAACCATAAAAAAGCAACACATAGCCCCAGTCAGGTTGCTGAAAACCTTATCTCAATGTAAAGCCTGGTGGATTCAGCTGTTTCAGCTGCCAGTAGGATACAGCACATATCTACACTTCTGATGATGTGATGAGGTGTAGTTACTTATCACTGCTAAAAAGAAAAAAAAAATTAAATAAAACAGAGCATAGGATTTTTCCAAAATGATATCAAGGGCAGAATATGTTTTTAACTGTATCTAAGGAGGGATTTTTCTAATTGTGCACTTATATATTCTTTATAAAGCTATTTGGGGGGAAGTATGATTGTCCTATTTTGATGATGCTAAAATGCCTGTGTGTAGGTTTTTAGAGACAAGCTCCACGGTGAAGTTTGTCAGAACTGCCTCTGAGTTTTTCCTCTGTTTCTCAGGTAAAATACGTAGGGGGGTCTCCACTGGTGGATTTTAGTGCTGAGAGTTCAGCAGCTACCAACACAATTCCTACCTGGAGCACTGCCTGGCAGTGAGCAAGGCTGATTTTTGGGAAGCTCCTGCTGTTGCCCTTTGTGTCCAGGCCCTTGCACTGCAGTTCCTCAGGTGAGCAGCTGCCACTGCTTGTCCTGGCACTCCCTGGGGAGCCACTGTCCCCTTTGTCCCCAGGGCAGTGGCCAGCTGTCCCATCCTGGCCACTGAGGGTCCACTGCTCACCTGGAGGGGATGGAGGATTTGAGGTGGAATCCCAGTGGAACTACTGCATAAGTTGCTGAGCTGTGATATTTGTAAAGAATCAGGATGCTCTGCAGCAGCTGGCACTTGTTCTCAGATTATTGATGCTTATCACTGATTGATGAAATTGTTGTGGATGCTTTTATTGCCTGGGGTTGTGGGGAACTTGGGGGTTTTTTTAGTGTCTGTAAAGGCTGTTTGGAAGGTGAGGTGTCAGTGGTTTCTGTGCACAAACTGCTTGCTCTGGAGGGACTTTGCTCCCGGGGCAGTGGATCTTTGCACTACTGCTTGAGCATCTTTGTACAGTAGATTATTTTTGCTTCTCTGCTGAGATCCTCTGAAAACTATTGGACTAGTTTGGGATAAATTCCCACAATTACAGACTGCATCATTGTAAGAAAATATACAGCTCCTTTTCAATCTAGTATTGAATTGTAATTTTTATTTTTTCTTCAAAGAATACAGGGGGTTTGCCCGTAGCTCTAAACATAGGAATACCACTGAAGCCTAGTGAAATGCTTGCTGTCAACTAAATGCTCTCCCTAAACTGTTTAGGGGCTTTAGGAACAAACTGAAGAGTTTTATGGTACTTCAGGAAAAAAAAAAATAAGAAAAAAAAAACATGCAACAGGATTTTGTCTCCTTGTTAATCAGTAAGAGCTAAAAAGAATTCTGTCCTGTTTTGTGCAAGGTCAACATCAGCCTTGTATTGAAGCACTGCTTCTTTAAATGGAACTATTAAATTTACACTCATAAAAATGTGCTTAATGTACAAAGCCAGTTTAAAGGATTAGGTTCATAATGTCTATAAAAATCAATAGTGTCTTAGAATTCAGATTTTGAAATTAGCATTTTGCTGGGATTTACGAGTATTGGTATAATCTTTATATGTGAAAACTCAAAAGCTCTCCACAGAATCTTTATACGATAGCAGTAGTTATTAGTGCACAAGTTTTTCATTTCCATGGGTTATATTTTTTTTTTTGAAAGCTCTGTGAAAGCTGGCTACAGATTTTCAAGAACCAAATCTTAGGAAAAAAAGGCAAATCCAAAATAACAACATCATCTGATGCTTCTATTTTACTACTATTTTTTTCATATTTGAAACATTTCTATAATTTAATGGACATATCTGTTAGAACGAAAGTGTCTTTCAAAGGAAAACTAGTTTAGAAGATAATTTATGTAAATATAGGGTGCTCGTATTTATGAAGTCTAAAATATTTTCTGAAATTGATGCTGGTCACTTTGTCTTTTGATAGTTTTTCAGTCTATATTAAATTGCAGATATTTTTAATGTTTTTATTATTGATCTAATTTTCAGAGGTGTCACATGTTTATCTAGAAGTGTAGAAGAGTAGCACCTTTTTCAGAAATGCACTTGCCTTATTTTCTAATTTTAAAAAAGAATGAAATATATCAGTTAAATTATATTTGTATTCAAAGTAATCCCAGAAAGAAAATCACTGGAGGGTTCATACATAAATTTCTTGCTAATTATGTTTCACTCTCTGTCCTCTGAGACATGACGTTAACAATATACCAGCACATCTGTTTGCATTCACATTCTACCAGTTACAGGTTCTGAGAGAGGTGGTTTTTTTTTTTTTAAACGATGTTACACTGTTTACATTTCTTAGTTTATTTAAGAGGAAGATAATTTTAACCTTTGCGATGAATCGAACTCAGCCTCCGAATGTCACGGGAACGAAATGTTTCGGTCGTGTACAAACGCGCAAATCTGTGCTGAGCTCCTGGCAGTGCAGCTCAGAAATGGAGAGGCTCTGGGCTCCTCCTGCTCCGGTTTGGTGCAGTTTGCTGGGAGAACAAGTGCAAGCTGCTCTGTCCTGTGTGTTTGTGTGGGATCCAGAGGGGTCCGTGCCCGGCACAGCCGGGATGTTGGTGTTAATCTGATTATTTGGCTCTAACCAAAACAGGAGCAGTGCCTCGGAGGGCAAACAGCTCCAGGGATGCTGTCCCCTGTTCTGGTTTCAGCTGACTGTGGTCAGTGTGAGCAGTGTGATCTGAAATGATCTGTTCTTCTTGAGAATGGAGATACAAGAGCGTTCCCATAGTTCCCTTCTGTAATATGCAAATAATCATGAATATCTGTATATTTTTGCATTTTTGTGTGTGGTATATGTACTACCTCAGACAAATGCTGTAAAAACCCAAAATATTTTCATGGTTTCTATCCAAGCCACAATTCATTAACAACCTACTTTAAATTCATCCCACAACACACCAAACTCTGAGAATCTGGCTGAGTTTTAGGTTTGGCTCTGGAAATCCTCCTATAGCTTTTGTTAAGGAAACTTTGCAGCCTTCAGCTTTCACGTCCCTCAGGCAAACCCTGCTTGGATGGGTGACTTCAGCCCTTCCTGCCCTGAGAATGATCTAGCTGGTGAATATTTCAAAGAGGTAATAGTTCTGTGGGAGCAAACTTCCCTGTGTGTGTAAATTGCTTTTTTTTCCATTCAGCAAAGGCTTGGCTGAGTTCTACTTTGCTGTTTGCCTTCCAAGTGCTGCAAGGTCGGGCAGGACAAGCGCTGAGCAGTGTCCAGCCCACCTCTGATGTGCCATACTGTATTTGCAAGTTTAAACTCATTTTGAAATAAGTATTGTGAGGAACCTCTTCTTCTGCGGTGTCTCCGCACACGCCCACGCATGCACACGAAATGTAAATAAAAAATAATTAAAAAAAAAAAAAAATAAATGAATCAAAGCAGGTGCAGCCAAATGCCTCAGCTTCAGGTGTCTCCAGGTCTCCTAGAGCTGCTTTTGTGCTCCAGGGAGGGAGTTGTGTGAGCCTGTGCACCCTGCAGTCCTGCAAGCACCCGCTGGTGCCACGGGGAGAGTGGGAGAGGAGAAGGATTTGTTCTTGGAGTGCTTCCAGCACTGTTTGAGGTGATACATATGCCACAGAATGTGAACAATAACCTATTACAGTTCAGTCAATCTGCTACCATGCACCATTTGATTTCCCTTTTGGAAGTCATAGGACTCCTGATGCCAAAAAAAAAAAAAAAAAAAATTAAAAAAAAAAAAAAAAAAAGGTGACAAAACTCATGCATTTCTATTTTTTAAACAGCTCTGTGTTTGTATGTAATGTTTAAAATAGGAATTTGATGAAATCACAGCCTGGCCATTGTTAATCCATGTATTCTAAAAACTGTAATAAAGATATACATACCATGATTCTGGTATTCTGGTAGATGCACCAATGTTTTACTTGATTATCATGATTATTTCCTGTTGAGTACCATCACCTCAAAGCCTGGGTTTGCTGTATAAAATTGTCATGCTGAAATTACATTCCATTTTAGCTTACTGTCGTTTTGTGGATTTCTGTCTTTTTTTTCTCTGAGGTGTCAATTCTATTTGACTTGAATTTGGGGAACCAGGTGCCTTTTCCAATGAAGGAGGACTTTAAAAACCAAATAACCCAAGAAAAGTTTATCATTTTAAAAAACCCAAATTAAATCATGGTGATACAATTTAATTTTTACAAAAATACCAATAAAAGGGAATCAATGAACAAATCCCATGGGTCCATATTTATTTTAAGAGGCTGGATTTCAATATAGAATTTCTAAGCAGACATATAGTCAGACAGCTATTGCTGATGTTTTCCAAATAATTTAATTCATTGCCAGAATGGTCTTATAAGAACAGAAACTTCACAGACTCTTCCCTTCAAAACTGTCAGTGATGTCACAGACATCATTGACATCAGAACAGACTGAACTGCACAACAGTATAGAGAGATTTGAATTTTTCTCAAAGTTCCAATTGGATATAACCCCAATGAATATGAGCAGCCATGTTGATACCACTCTCCTTAGGTAACTTTTTATATGTGGAAAAGATGTGCCAGAAATGGTCAAAGGCACCACACAGATATATAAAACATTCCCCCAAACCTTCTGCAAATGCCCACATAAATATTACATTTTGTAAAGTTTTGATTCTTGAGGCATTATTAATTGTGGGTTTGTTGGTTTTTTGGTTTTTTTTTGATAATGCTAATATCAATGTATGGGTTTATTAAAATGGTCATTGCTTTCTTTAGCACCCTGTGCATGCTGGTAGAGTATTTGTTGGTTTATGACATGAATGTTTTCATCTCATAATTACCTGTAAGTAGCTGATTCCCTGCCTTTAAATACTCACAATGTGAAACTTAAAAGTAATCTTCATCGTGGTTAAAAAGTATTTCATAAATTCTTTTCCACAAAACTGGGCACGGATTCTGTTTGGGAGAAAGCATTTCCAAGTATCTCCAAGCTGCTGTGAATTTACCCAGGCACAATGGAAGTGTCTTTTGAACCATCCCCATTATATTTGTACATCAGGCACGGAACAGCAGTGAGTAATCTGCAGCCATTCACAACAGCATAACTTAATTATGACTTTATTATGGCAGTCCTACTCAATGGGATATTTAAAGCACGCACTGGTAGAAAAGAGTTCTCTCCACTTGAGGAGAGTGGGAGACAAGCATCTGACTTTTGAATAGTGAGGGATCAACAAAAGCAGGAAGAGGGACAGTGATAATCCGCTGTCAGTCTGAGCTCTCAGTCATGCTGGCAAAAACATCCCGAGGAACTTCCTGATTTACACATTTGGAAATGTTGGAAAGCAGCACTTGGAATAACACATAATGCCAGAAAGGACAGGAAGAAATAACGAGGGGGAACAAAACACGTACAAAACCGTGTTGTAAAGGGATTTGTGAATGTTTGACCAATAATGAAAACAGAGAGGCCTCAAAGAGAAAACCAGTGGTGGCACAGAGAGGCCAAGTGCTGAGTTAGGGAGGGGAGGGGGCAGGCTCAGAGCATTGGTGGGTTTCACCAGCAGCACGAGTGCTGCTCAGCTCCCAGCCTGCGCTGCCAGAATTTTGGTCCATGAGGGTGATGCTGCTGCACAGCCCAGGGTGCCCTGGGGAGGGCAAAGGGCTGCACCCACCCCCTCAGCCACATCTGCCTTCCAAACACCTAAACTGCAGTTTGGAAATTGTCACCGTTCTCTTCTTGCCTGCTGAGCTTTGGTGGCCATCATCAGCACGGCACTGACAAAATTCAGCACAAACTTTCCCTGCAAAATTCAGACAGAAGTGCCCATGCCTAAAGTGGAGTGTTCTCTTCAGAGATCACTGAGGAGCTGCCAGAAGCTTAGAAAACAAGTTTCTGTAATGCAAGACTTTACAATATATAAAACTGAAGCTAATTTAAAGGATGTTCCTTAACTATAAGTGGAATTAGATACCTAATTTTTAAAAATCTGGAATCAGAAGAAGCTGCTTTGCCCCTGCAATAGTTCTGCATTTATTGCAAGACTTGCATACCTGCTGAAGTGAGGGGCTTAGTGCTCTTTTCACTTGGAGTTCTTCCAGAATGTGATAGCCATAAACTGGAGTAGACACAGCTTACAAGAGGGGACAAGAACATAACTCCAAATAATTCAGCAGAAACTATTTCAGGTGCTTCTGGGTTTTTTTTTGCATCTACCATTGTATTTTCTTCCTAAATCATTTCATTTTGGTAATCTGACTTGTACAGCAGAAGCCATTTAAAGAAGCACTAAATCACAGGTGGCATAATCCCTTTTACACAAAAGAACAATTTAAAAAGAACAAACTTCATTTCTCTGGGTTTCAGTGGACTCTACCAGGGAAGTGTTGTCTTTTGCCATTCATTTGTGTCTGCCTTGAGCTCACCATGTGTTTTGCCCTGTAAAATCTGAACATTCCTGGTTCCTGCATTTGGCAAAGGACTGGCACAGTAGATAAAAGGTCTCTTGATCTGTTCCCCTGTGTGGCCCAGCAAGTGACTCAGGCTTGCAGCTATTTATCTGTGAGCCACACAGGCTCCAGTCTGAGGGTCAAGCTTAGCACTGGGAGGCAAAATTTAAAATCCCAAATGCAAAGTAAAAAGAACCTGGAGGGCAACAAAAATGCATCTGCTGGACACCGGCTCTGTGTCTTGGTCTGGTTGGACTGTTGGAAAATTTTGGCCTTTCAATAAAGCCTATTTATGCAAATTATTAAGATATCTGATAGAAAAGTTATGCCAGGTTTAATTGTAGGTATTGCAGACTGCTGGGGTTATTCAGCACTCAGGTTTTTGCTGTTGCTCACTAATTTCCCCTTATTGGCTTTCAGCTGGAGCCTGAGTGATGAACACTTGCAGTGAGGAGAGGTGCATTGATCAGGGAGGTGGGAACTGAGGGAGATGAGCAGGGGAAGCCTTTAATGTGAATTCTTCTGTAAAGCAAAACTGTATTTCCACATGTAGTTCCTTGTATAATCAAGGAAGCAAATTATATAAAACAGATCTTTGATCACGAAGATGTTTTCCATGCAAAGTGTGCTGCTTTTCCTACATTAATAACCTGTTTGCTCCTAATGAAGGCAGAGCCTGCAATTTTTGTTACAATCCAGTACCAACACAGCCATCATTTTCTTTCATTTTGATTTTCATCAGATTTCTTTCATGGGGGATCAGTTGCAGGTGCCTGAGTCTGGAAAGGAGCAGGTGTGAAAGATCAGGTACAATCTGATTTAAACCAAAAGGTTTCTGTTGAACCTCAGGCTTTTTCCACCTGTGAAGCCAATTTTCCCTCCACTGTGTGTTTTGCTTCAGATGGTCTGTGTCTCTCCACACCATTTCAGGGGCTGCCCTTTGCAGAGCAGAAAATTGGAGTTCTCAGTGAGCATCTGCATTTTCCAACTGGGGAAGAAAGGAATGTCCAACGAACAGGTGGGAGCATTTTCCAAAGACACAATATGCCAGACTTCATGGGGAAGTCCTTGCTGTCCACCTAGGTGGGGAAAACCCTGTGGTAAGTTCTTCCAAGGCAAAGCCCTGAGGGGGAAGGATTCAGAGGATCCCACAACACAAAATTCAGCAAATTAAGCGGGTAGAGGAGATCCTCCCAGTTTTCCTGGCAGCACTCACTTCACTCCTACAGGCAGGATTCACCCCTGAGGGCCAGGATGTGCTGTTAGAACACCCTGCACTTGTCTCTGCTCCTTGGAAAATGGCTTTTAGCTGAGCCCCCACCTGAGCAAGGCTCCCACTGCTGGGTTCTCACCCTCTGCTGCTCTCCCTGTGGGCTCTTCTGCAATCTGTTTTTCTCTTCCCCACTCTCCAGAACTGTTTGGTGAGTGTGAGCTGCTTACAGTGAGGACAAACCGTTTCAGGGACATCTCTTGAGGAGGCAGCATTGACCAGGGCATGGACTGGCAGAAGTGTCATTGGTTTATTGATGCAGCATGCTGGGAAATGGAATATTGAGCCCTGAATGTGAGGATTTTTTCCTCAGTGCAGGGTAAATATGTCTGGGGGGAAGAGGGGACCTGTGCTGCTCTGTCAGGAAGCAGATGGACTGCATCCCTCCCTGGTGCAAGGGTGAGGGAAGTAGAGGTTTGTGTTTTGCTTGTCCTGGCAAAATGTAAAATAAAATGTAAATACATCAATCCGTACCCGCCCAGCAGCCTGCGATGGCAATAACTGTCTTGGTCCCAATTCATTTTAACAGTGGTGGAATTAAAATCCAATCTGTTGACTATTGGTTTCCTCACCCCCAGAGGAGGCAGCCCCCTGCCAGAAAACCTCCTGAGAAATGAGGGGATGAATCTCATTCTGCAGGTGGCAGAGTTAAATTTATCTAAATCCATCTCTGGGCTCACACCTAAAGCTGGGCCCAGCCTTCCTGCAAGACAGCAGCACAAACACCCAGCACAGAGGCTGATTAAAAACTTTCCATGGAGCTGGGAGCTGGATGCAATTTAGAATATGAGTTGCTATACCGAGATGCTGAAAACTGTAAACAGTATTTGCATTTTGTTATGAATGTTTTGCATAACTTTAAGGATGTTTTCTTTATCCCCAAGTGGGGCTGTTTGGAGCCCATAATGTACTGTGAAGTTCCAGGAACAGAAAAATGTGTTGAGCTCAAACCGGCCGGTATCACAGCAGACGTAAGAGTGTTCAAGCAAAGAGTGTTTTGCATCAAAAGTGTGTTTATATTTGCATTTTTGATGCAAAAAGCTACCTAATCGGCACTGCAAATGGAGCCCGTAACTGAGGCAGTGCAGAGTTCTATGAAATTGAAAAGTTGTGTGTAATTTCTGAAAAACAAAGTCTATTTTGCACAGCTCTAACTGTAGCTAATATTTAAACCAATTTAAT